AAATTACAGTTATGAAGTAGCAACAAAAATAATTTTATGGCTGGGGGTCACCACAACACGAGGAACTGTATTAAAGGGTTGCAGCAGTAGTAAGGTTGAGAACCACTGGCTAAGCCAAAGAGGTGGAGGTTGCTGTGATCTGTGACACCACAGAACTCTACGGAGGGCGACAAAGTGAGACTCTGTCTCTAAAAAAAAAGAAAAAGATTTAAAGCCACATTAGCCAAAGGAACTGAACAAGAACAGGAAGGTGCTGAATATGCCCTGAAGATCCCTATAATGGGGGGTGGGGAGGGGCTAATTAACTCCAATTTCTCCTCTTCAGTACAATCAATGAAGAAAAAATATATATTATTTAAAGCCACATCAGCCCCACCTCCAAGAACCTACACAGTTATATCCTGAAATCAACACTTGGTCTGAAGTGCTCCCATAACAAGAGGCCTGGGTATCCAGCTGCCTGGTTTCCTCTGGAGCATAAATTCAGGACTTTAAGCAAGTTTCTCTTTTGCTTGTTCTTCTATCTTTTCTGCCTCTTGGATAGCAGCTCTAACCTACTCTGAAGATTGTTTTTACCATACCCAGATTTGCCTCACATTCCTTCTTCCAAATACCTGCACTGCTGTGAATAGTATACAGAGTTTTTCATAAACAGGTGTGTTTATCAAAGAAAAAGCATATGGAGGGGATATTTTGGTTATACAATATTTATTTAAAATTGGGCCATGACCACAAACACATCATGTCCTTATGTGAGGCCATCATGTTCATAAATACAAAAACTCAGAATAAAAGTGCAAAACCTGACTGGGTGCCCTAACCCTGGAATAGAGCTAATGTCTAATATATTACACTAGAAGGTTGTGCACTGGTAACTAATACAATTAATTCAGAGTGTGTCCTTACTATGAAGGTATTCTAGCAATTTTTGACCAAAGCTAAACAATATACTAAAGAACTTATTACTAGGAGACAAATATCAAGTAAGCTAAAATAGTGCTTCCCAATCTCATCATGGCATACACATAAAATTTGTATACATCACACTAAGTCAAAGGGGTTCTCAACCTTCCTAAGGCTGCGATGTATTTTCATTGTTACAAAGGGATCATGACACGCATGTTGAGAACCGCTGCACTAAGATATAGGGGAAAAGCCGCACGATCTTCACCACCCAATTGGCCCCTGGGGCAGCTCACCAGATGGGAAACACTGATCTAACAGACTCTCATGCAAAGGACCTGGGTCTCCAGAAGTTCATCCATATAGCCGCACACAGGCAGAAATAAATCAACTTAAGGAAAAACATTGTTTATTTCTGATGTTCTAACCTACACATCTTAGACAAACCCTTAAACATTCAAGGCCCAGTTCATCTCCACTATGAAGTTCATAGTCAGCTACACTGTGAAGCCTTCCCAAAGCTCGAAGGTTGTAGTTCACATCTCTCCCTCCTGTTTCCAGAACACCTTTAGTTTTAATAAAACTACCACATTGTCTATAGTTACTGGCAGCTGCATTGTTTACATTACTAAATTAAATGCCTCTTGAATGCAGGGATCTTCATTCATTCACTTTTATTTCCCTTTTCTCCATAATATTGAAAAAATGTAGTTTGCACAACTAATGTCTGTTCAGTCTGAACTCTATAACCCATGTACTTTTTCCATCTATATTTCAAAACTACATTCAGTTCCAAGACTCAAATATCTTACTTTTCCAAAGTTTCAAAAGCTCAACAGGATATCGAAAATGTTAGCATTAACCCCACACTCTCAAAATTTATAAGACGAAAGCAAATGTCAGCCAGTATAGAACTTTAACAACCAAGTACCGCTTGGCACCTGTAGCACAGTGGTTATGGCGCCAGCCACATACACTGAGAGTGGCAGGTTCGAACCTGGCCTGGGCCAGCTAAACAACTGCAACCAAAAAATAGCTAGGTGTTGTGGTAGGCATGTGTAGCCTCAGCTACTTGAAGGGCTGAGGCAAGAGAATCACTTAAGCCCAAGAGTTTGAGGTTGCTGTGAGCTGTGACCCTATGGCACTCTACTAAGGGCAACATAGTGAGACTCTGTCTCAAAAAACAAACAAACAAAAAAAAACCAAGTACCAATTCCTTTATTCCAAGCAAATATAATGTTCCCAGAACTCAACAAATAATGGAAAACCACACTGCTGTTACCAGCCATAATCCCTGACAGAAACTTTAAATTGCCCAGGAAAATGAGGAGGCATTTTGAATTATTTTTACTTCTACTAAAGAATTTCAGCCAATGAGAATTCTTATTACATGGGAATAAATATGTACTTTTATCATTGGAATTGCTAGTTTATAGGCTTTTTCCTTAAATTTGTGAATATATCTGAAAGCTGTTAATTTCCTTATTATCATAATTTGTATTTTCATCTTCTTCTTTCCTTTAAAAGATATTTAACTTTTTTTTTTTTTTTTGAGATAGAGCAGAGGTTCTCAACCTGTGGGTCGCAACCCTTTTGTAACAATGAAAATACATCGCAGCATTAGGAAGGTTGAGAACCACTGAGATTTAGTTTCTGTTGCCCTAGGTCAAGTGCCATGGTGTCACAACTCACAGCAACCTCAAACTCCAAGATTCAAGTGATCTTCCTGCCTCAGCCTCCTAAGTAGCTAGGACTATAGGTGCCTGCTGTGATGCCTGGCTAAGTTTTCAATTTGTAAGAGAGATGGAGTCTTACTGTTGCTTAGGCTAGTCTCAAACTCTTGAGCTCAAGCACGCCACCTATCCTGGCCTCCCAGAGTGCTAGTCGTGAGCCACTATGCTGGCCAAAAAATACTTCTTTCAATTACTAGTAACTAAATAAAAATATAACAAGTGAATAGATATTTAACTACCAATATAGATTAGTACATCAAATTAAGTTATATACAAGCACTAATCCCAAAATATTCATTGAAAATATGCTTGTACTCTTACCCTGTGTTTCTCTGACCCTGTTTAAAATACTAGGTACTCAAGTTAAAGATTTATTTTTGCAACATCTAAAAAGCTGCAATAAACATTCCCAGTTATATAATATTCCAAAACCAAGATATACATGTATGATATTCATGGAAGTAGTTTCAAGTTTGAAAAATCAGTCTGAATTTATAAAAAGCTAACTGTATAGTCTGCAGCTCTCTGCTAGCTGCAACTGATACTGCATTAACATCTAGTGTTCAGTTTTTCTTGGCCATCCACATAGCATCTCTACAATCTATAGCCTAATATTTAGCTAACATGATCATCCTCCTTTTCACCCTACCAATTCCTTTATTCTTGCAGATTTGAATGTTGAAAGGGACATGCATATGCTACCCAAACCCTCTAATTATTTCAGAGCCGGTCCAGCTACCTTCCTCAATACTCTATTCAGCTTTCAACCTCTCAAATTCTCTATTACTATTTAAATAAAGAAAAGTAACAGCCTCACCCAGTGGCTCATGCCTGTAATCGTAACACTTTGGGAGGCCAAGCTGCGAGGATCCTTTGAGGCCAGGAGTTCAAGACCTGCCTGAGCAAGAGCAAAACCCTATCTCAACAAAAAATAGAAAACATTAGTTGGGTGTGGTAGTGTGCCTGTCATCCTAGCTGCTTAGAAGGCTGAGTCAAGATGATCACTGAAGCCTAGGAGTTAAGAGGTTGCAGGGAGTCAGGATGATCCCACTACACTCCAGCACTCTTACCCCTGGTGACCCAGCTCTCAAAACAAACAAACAAACAATAGTGTCACACTCTGTAAGCAACACCAACATGTAAACACAAAGAGGAGGTGGATGTTTACCTTTTGCGATTCTGAAACTAAAAAAGTACACAGGCTCCAGGAGTTCCCCTTATCAAAATCCCAAATCCCCAAGTCCCTTATATAAAATGACACAGTATTTGCATTCTCCATGGACTTTAAATCATCTCTAGATAATTTACAATACCCAGTGCATTATAAATGCTAAGTAAATAGTTATGTTATATTTTTTAATTTGTATTTTTTATCCCCTGCCAATATTCAATTCATACTTGGGTGAATCCACCCAATCGGAACCCACAGATGTGGAGGCCAATGATACATTGTTTCAACATAGGAAGGGTCAAGAACAAATTCACTGCTGTCCCACTTTGCCCTTCTACCTTTCTGATACTTCTGTATTTGATGAGAAAATTTTTTTGTGTTAAAAGCTTCAACTGAAATACATCAGGTTATTTTGGAGACAGATAAAGTATTCAATATTTTTCTGATAATGTACCCCATTCATTAGTCATTTTCATTTTTAAGATAAAAGTTAACTCATGCCTGTAATCTCAGCACTTTGGGAGGTTGAGAAGGGAGGATCATTTGATACCAAGAGTTGAAGATAAGCCTGAGCAACATAGCAAGACCCTATCTCTATAAAAAATAAAAAATCAGTCAGGCACGGTGGTGGGCACCTATAGTTCCAGCTACTCAGGACTAAGGCACAAGGATTGCTTGAGCCCAGGAGTTTGAGGTTACAAGTGAGCTATGAAGATATCACTATACTCCTGCCTGGACAACAGCACAAGATTCTATCGCAAAGGGAGTGAGGGGAACCCTGCAAATATGAAGAAGTCTTTATTACCATAAAGTCCATTCATTCTGTTATAATTTCTGTACCACCTTTGGAACTTGAAAATTAACTATAGTTCGTCATCAACTCTTTTAGGGAAGACAAAATTATTCCTTTCTCTTCTTGGTTGGAAAGTTGAGAAGAACAAATACTTCAAATATTGCTATATTTCTTGATATTCTATGTCACATTTCAACCCTAAACAATTGACCAATAAGGTTCTTTTGGTCTAAAAGTGTATAGTAGAGTAGCAGGTTATTTTTACTTTGAAAGTTCATATCAAAAGTATGTTTTTAAATGGTTAATGATAAAACAATTATTGTTTGGGGTTTTCTTCCTTTTTAAATATATTGTGGTTATGTTTTAAAAGGAAGAGAAACACTGAAAAGATATGTCTTACCTTTTAGGCATACTTGAAACACTGTATCAACAGATTATGCTTCAAAATAATCTGGGGAAGGGGAGAAGAGGGCAGGGATATAAATCAAACAAGACTGGCCACAAATCATAATTGTTTTAATGGTACATAGGAGTTCAATAAGGTGAGCGTACAACATTGTTTCTCTATGCCTGAAGTTTTCCACATCTGTGAAAAAAAAAAAAAAGAATTGGACTCATTAAATTCCAATGTTTCTGCTAGTTCAACTTTTTTTAGAATTCAATTGACTATGATATCTACACTTTGAATTGGACTTAACAATTCTAAGTATAATTCAGAGTGCAAGTATAGCTAAATCTGATATAATTAATGGAAAGTTGTTCGTAACTGTTACCAAAATAACAGTACTTAAAGTATTCAGCTTGGCAATGCCCTGCTTCCTCTCTAAGTCCTGTTTTTCATTCCCCACCTTTCAGTCAAGCATTACCTTTCTTAGACCTTTCATTCTCTACAGATAACTTTGTCAAAGAAAACAGAGACCACCAAGCTGAGTTCATTCCAGTTTACCTACCCCGCTGCAGCTGGTCCCCACTTCTGACTGTACTTCTCCAAGTCCTTTCCTTCTGAGCCCCCTTCAAGAACTGACCACATCTGGATCACTTCACCTGCTAACACCTCATCATGCCACTCCTCCCCGCAGCGAGCTACTCCACCTACGTCCCTCTTCCAGGAAACCTCCTTTAAAGTTCTTATACACCACCATGCTAAGCTTCCTACTGGACTCGCACCTCAAGGGCATTCTCACCTGAAAAGATGTGGCACCTCAGGGGTCTTTCCTCCCCTGGTCCTCTTTCCTTCTTATTCCTATAAGCCCAGTATAAGCCAGTATTTTTTCTTTTCAACCTTTTTTATCTTATGGCACACTTGAATCTATAGTTAAACTTCTGCACCATGCTTAAAAAAGAATATACTTACTATGCTTTGAACTTCTTTTGAAAATAATTTAATTAATGATCTTTCAAAATATTCATGGCACACCAGATGAAAATCACTGCTATAAGCCCTTATCTACATTATCAACTCATTCTAATCACTACTCAAACTACTTTTCAAATCTTCACCACCAGGGGCCACATCAGCCTAGAAAGACATGTGAGTCAAATCTAACTTACCCTCTAATTTTGTAAATAATGCTCTATTGGAATACAGACACACCCATTGTTTGCCTATTATCTACCTGCTTTTGTGATCAAGGCAGAGTTGACCTGTTACAACACAGACATGTGGCTTTTTAAAAACATGATGGCCTTTACAGAAAAAGTTTGCCAGCCTCTCTTCTGTAAGGTAAAATATATCAAATGAATACTCCTAATAACTTTTCTTGCTTTTCAATCCCAACGCCAGCACTATTGTCAGGCCACCTGTGAGATTCCTGAGGGTTTTCTGTCACTCCCAAACTCCCTTCTCACCCTCACCAATCCATCTCCTTTGGTGCAACCGCATCCACTAAATGCACAAATCCACCTCCCTATTTAAAATTTTCCCCAAAGAAGAGGTTTTTCACAATCTGGCTCCTGGCCATCCTATCCAACTATCCAATCACTCCACCTGTAAGAAATAACGAAAATAGTTTAGTTCCTCCAGAACATATCACTCTGTGTCTTCCAGGGTCACCCAAGAAATACCTACAAGTTTTAGCTTAAGCACGATCACCTCCATGAGGCTTTCCCTAATCCATCTGGGTGATTCCTTCCCACTGCACTCAATACATACTTCCATTGAGTAAGTGTTTCTTTCTTTTCACATCCTCTCCTGAAGCAGGAACCCCAAGGGAGAGTAGGTGTGAATGGTTATTGAAGGCAGGGGTTTACAGTCAGGAATGTGGAACTGAGGGCCAGTTCTGCCCCTTCCTCATTGCATGTTCTTAAGCAAATTACTGAATGTATTTTCTTCATCTGTAACATGGAAATTTTGTGAGGATTATTTAAAATTATCTTAATAAGCAAAGTACCTGGCACACAGTTAAGTCTGCCAACAATTACTGGTTATGACCACTTTCCTTGTTGTATTCCTCATACTTGGTTCAGAATCCCAATATCTGCTGAGTTAGACAACTGGAGTAAGCCTGTTCTGAACACGTTATTTTCAGGTGCAGACTGAATATTTTCACCTGAACAATATATTTGGATCCCAGAATTCATCCTCATGCCAAAAAATATTTCAATTAGAACAACTCATTCAAGTTTGCCCAGGATTTTCCTGGTTTAAACACTGAAAGTCCTGTTTCTGAGAACTTCCTCAGTTCCAGGCAAACCAAAACAAGTTACCACTTTAGAGTTAGATTGCAAACAACAGAAAATGACATGGATTAATTTAAGGAGAAAAGGGAGGGGAATGAGAATTTATAGGAAAGACAGAGGGCAATGCACAGAACCAAAAGAAGAACCCAAGAATCAGGCCTCTGAAAACAGGGATGATAGCAACTCCCACAGATCCAGTGGCAGGAATTAATGGACGTTTACTTTCTCAGTTCTTCTGTCAGAATGGATCAATTAGGTCCCTCAGTAATCAGCTCACTTAAGATTTCCATGTCAGGAACAGAATTTGATTGGCTTAATTTATGTTAGCCAGACAAAGGTGAGGCACCTAAGTTAACTAAAGGCAGGAGCACCTAGATTAAAAATCCCACCACAAGATATCCAATGGCAGAAAAGTAGTTTCCAAAGGCCAAATCAGAATGCTGTTTCTAAAAGTGGGAATGGATATTATGCCCTCATAACAACTGTAGTTTGAACACACCAGGCTTTTGAGACCCCATGGGATGGTCACTACTACTCATGCTATCTTTTTTTCTGACTGAGAAACTCATTCTTTAACACCAGTTCAAATATGACTTGCATAACCTCACTCAACTTCCCCAAGTACAGTCAGTCATTCCTTTTCCCCATATTGATAGTATTTTGCAAATTAGGTACTTGCATTAAAGAACATCGCACTGTACACTGAACATATATTTAGGCATCATTCTCCTCCACTAAAACAGTCTTCCCTAGGTCAGAGACAATTATTTTCATATTTTTAATCTTTGGCAACTAAAAATTTCCACCTGACACATAGAAAATGTATCTGTTTTCCAAGTCACTAGGACATACAAAGAATCAAAATAAAAAGGAAAGATAGGGGTTACCACCGGTAACATGCTGAGAGTATCAAAGAGAAAGCTGACAAGACACGAAAGGCAAAGACAAGCCAAAATTATAAAGAAGAGCAAAAACTCCATAAGCACAAAAATTAAAGACAAAATCCTAGCTAATCCAAGAACTTGAAGGTATCACTTATACATATAAAAGCAAAACCCAATAACTATATTCATAATAGTTGTCAAAACCCCAGAAATAACTAAATTATATTCTGTTTAAGAAGCAAGAAAAATGTATAGGACATTTTCAGCAATACTGAAAGGATTTTTGTATTTGTAAAAATTTCAAAATAAAATTTGGTACTATGTATATAAACAAACTCCCTAACCCAGAAAAATCAACCCTTCAGAATGCTTAATTACAAATATAATCATGATTTATTTTACCATATTTAACTGTTAATATTGACTAAGCTGTGATAAAATTTTTCTTAATAGCAAAACTGCAAGAAAGAATAGCTATATCCACTTTATACTTTTATTCCTTTACCTCCAAGACAGTTATCCCTACGTGTGCATGAGGGATTGGCTCCAGGAGTCCCCTTGGATGCCAAAATCTTTAGATGCTCAACTCCCTTCTATAAAATAGCATAGGACAGTTGGCACTTTAAATCCATAGGTTCGGCAATCAAACCCTTAGATTTGGAGGACCTTTTGCTAACAAAACAGAAAAAGCAATTTAGGAGTGATTTCACAGAAAGGGAATCCCAACAACTCTGAAGTTAGATTTTTTAGAAATACATTTTGTAATTCCTTTACTGGATACCAAGAAATTAGGTTACTTTTTTCACTTCAAATGTTATCCAGTGTATGCCATATTTCACCCAAATAACCAAAATTCATTTCATAAAGTACACAATCACCGACTGAATTTTTTTTTTAGTTTTTTTAATGGTTAACCTGAAGCTAATAAAACCTTTGACTCTAACTTCTAGTTTACAGAAAATCCACCACCACTATCCAAAGGGTGGTGATAAATAGGATGAATAAATTAATACCATAAAGAAACACAAATCCTGTAATTAGGACATTCTATTAGGCTGACCCATATATTTACCAGTGCTTCACTGTTTTGAACCTCAAAAATGGCAATTTCATACAGTGCAACTTAATATAAGAAAACTGACCTGATTTCTTTAACAAATTAATTACATTTAAAAAATGGTGAGTGGACAAGAGCTAAAAGTAGGAAGCAACCCAAGTAGTCACCTATGGATGACTGAATAAACAAAATGGTATATACGGAAAATGGAATGCTACTCACCCATGCAAATGAGCCTTAATTACTAATTCACTATGCATGTGCCTTATTTTCCCAAAATTTTACCTGTCATAATAAAGTGTGGACTCACGAATATATTTATTTGAGGAATAGTTTAGTGTTTTTCCCAGCCATTGTACTAAACACTGGACAGTGAAGATATAATCTGCTCCCTCAGAAAGCTCACAATCTCCTAGAAGAAACAGACAAAACAATTAAATTATCATAATTACAATGAGAGTTCTTCCAGGATCAAAGAATGGTACCTAACCCTGAGTTAGTATTTAAAAGAGGTCAGAATTAGCCAGGCAACAGGAGGCAGGAAAGGATATTCCAGTATGCAAGATGGTCCTGAGAACAGAAATAGCACTGGCAAAGATGGGAAGGCAAGATTCCAGATTATGTATAAGCATATAAGAAGTTCAGTGTTGCTAGAGCTTAAAGGGGTGTGGAGGGGGGTGGGTGAAGGAGGGAGGAAGGAAGGTTGAAACCAGAGAAATAACCAGACATCAGGCTCACTGAAAAATCTCATCAACTGAAGGGACACCACCACTTCAGAAACAATTTTTAAACTGCACGGTAATAAGGTAGTAAGGTCTAAAGCAAGCTAGATAGAGGCAGAATAGAGAGAAAGCACAGAGATTCAAGCATCTGATCGAATGTCGAAGATGAGAAAGGAGTCCAAGAAGCCTCTCAAGTTTCAAATTCATGTCACAGTTGAGGGTGATGATACCATAAACAGAAAAAAGAAAAAGACAAAAAAACAAAGACAGAGCATGTTTTTAAATACTTTGAGTTTGAGATGCTAAAGAGATGCTCATGTGAATAATTTCCAGCAGCTGATTAAAGGATTTAAGTCCTCGTACACTGAAATGATTAAAGCCAAGGGAGCTGTTGAAGTGAGCAAGAAAATAGTCTATAGAGAAGACTGTCAGAGACGGAGTCCCAAGACAGGCCTACACTCAGTGGGCAGAAAGAATGGGAAAAGCCAGCTCGGCGCCTCTGGCTCAAGTGGCTAAGGCACCAGCCACATACACCTAAGCTGGCGGGTTCGAATCCAGCGCCGTGTCCCGCCAAACAACAATGATGGCTGCAAAAAATAGCCAGGCGTTGTGGTGGGCGCCTGTGGTCCCAGCTACTTGGGAGCCTGAGGCAGGAGACTCACTTGAGCCCAGGAGTTGGAGGTTGCTGTGAGCTGTGATGCCACAGCACTCTACCCAGGGGGACAGCTTGAAGCTCTGTCTCAAAAAAAAAAAAAAAAAAAGAATGGGAAAAGCTGACTGGAAAGAGTAATGCACAAGTACTCCAGGAGAGAGTATATGCCCGGTTAAAAGTGAATTCAAGAAAAGAACATTATAGTATCTGCTGTATGTCTGTATGACATAGAGATTTCTGAACTCCACTTTTTCAAAACTTAGGAAGAAAAGGAATTGCACCACAATGGTAATAAGC